GAACGACACAAGCGAGCCTATCATCTTAGCATTGCTGCCCTTGTTTCGACAAGCATCTACAACTTCGGAGAGCTCCTGCTCCACCCCATCCTTGACGTCCTTGCCAAGAGCGAGCATGCTTGGATGCGTGATCTGTTATTTGCCTTTAACCGTGGAGATCTTGCTGCTTATGACCAGCTATCTGATCGCGTCGAGTCCAACAAGCTTCTTAAGAACAACGCCACACATCTTCGACAAAAGATCTACCTTTCCGCATTGACTGAGGCTGTCTTCCGCCGTCCTCCCCACGACCGCACCCTCACCTTTGCCACTATCGCTCAGGAGACCAAGGTTCGACCCGAAGAGATTGAGCACCTTATCATGAAGGCGCTTAGCCTAGGCCTGTTGCGAGGAACTATTGACCAAGTGGACGGCGTTGCTCAAATCACCTGGGTTCAACCCAAGGTGCTCGACATGAAGCAAATCGCCGCAATGCGCCAGCGACTGCTTGACTGGGACTCAAGCGTCAACCAACTCGGTAACTGGATCGAGTCGGCTGGCAAGGATGTGTGGGCTGCTTAGAGGAGTTCTCGACAGGAGTACGGTCTAGGGAACACATGGCAATCAAAACGAACAAATGTACAGTATAGACGAATAGAAACTTTACTGTGGGCAGATGATGATCCTTTGCCCGAGTCAAGACTATTAATTGTGAAATTTGCTAAATCTATGTGCCCTTGTTTAATACTAAAAAAAAAAAAATCACCATTATGGTGGCGCAATGCATGCTTTGCTTCCTATCTTACAGCCCGAACCCCTAATTTTCTTCAAGCAGTAACCTCTCCGAAAACATTGACCATGCCCACAAGCCAGGCAGGCCACCAAAGGCACCATACCACAACGGGTGTATACATGCCCCAGACATTCCAGCCAAAGCTGGCCTCCTTCAGCAAGTCCGCGATGCTGATGTCCCAAATCTGAGCCGCTGCGTACAAAACTGTAGGTGGTGATACGGCATTGAGAAGACCTGCGAGAGACCAGCGAAGGCCAGGGTTCTTGACGGGCTGGACAAAGCTGAGCGGGCTTGAGAGCACGCCGATAAGAAAAGCGAGGGAGAAGTTGAGAGTAGCGAGAGTAGAAAGGCACATGCCGAGAACGAGAAGGGAGAAAGACTTTGTGAGTTGGAAGTGTTGCATCGTGGGCTTGGTGACAAGCGTTAGGAGACGCGAGATCGTGAAGGGCAGGATAGCTGAGATGACGGAGAATACAGCAAAGGTGGGCGAGAGTAACTAAGGATAGTCAGTATGAAACTCAAAGATGATATTGGGGAGCACTCACGCCAGCGGGAAGGTGGTTGAAGATGTACAGGGGCACAGCTGCGAGACCCTGGCAGACAGCAACGACACCAAGCGGAACAAACAGGTCCCGTCCAGCTTGTGTCGCTTCGACGGATGTGGTAGAAGCTTTCTCCTTGGGTTTCTGCGTCGCTGGTGATTGGCCGCTCTTGACCCAGAGAGAGATAGCCATGATGGTAAAGTTGGCAGCAATCAACATAGCACTGGGAAGATAAGTACCGATACTGACGAAGCGATCAGTCTGCATCAGAAGATAGAAGAAGAAACTCTGATGCAGATGCTCAAGCAAATTATTCAGACTTCGGAACGAACCCTCAACCAGGCGTCCCATGGCCATCTCATCATGCCATCCTTCGCCATAAGGCTGAAGTGTCACGGCATCAACGTGATATGGGATGAAGCTGCTGTGAGCACCAGCTGCGTAGCCAAGACCTTGATTGAGCATACCGCGCAGCATAGTCTGTAGACGATCGGGGTAGGTACCCTTGTGCTCCGTCATCTTCTGAATAGAAGTACCGATACCCATCTGACCACCAGCAATGTTGACGATTGAGTTGATAAGATCAAGATTAGGGAGCTGGCCGTTAGGGCCATCGTAAATCACATGAACAGACTTGAAGCTATGTTCCTGAGGGTAGTCGATAGCAAGGGCGCCTTGAAGGGCACCGGACTTGAGAGGCAAAGGAGCCACGAGATCAGGGTTATGAGCATCATGGTATGCGTCAACCCAAGCTTGCGTACCTGTCTTGCTATCAGGAGGAACAACGAGAATGATGTCCTTAGACCAGAGTGACCAGCCTGCACTTTGTCAGCGTCCATCGCCTGTTTTGAGTTTCTGGGGGGGTACATACGTTTGAAGTAACGGACCAAAGTCAATGCCAGAGATACGCCGTTGCGGTTGAGCTGCTCCTCAACGTTCTTCCATGCAGCAACCAATACAATTGCCTCAGTAGCATCGCCACGAGGAGCTTGCAGGATTGCGTAGAGGTTCTGTCCTGAGTACTCATGGCCAGCTGAGTGGTAGGTATAATTTTGACGTCCAACCTTTAATCCAACACCAGTGAGAATCTTGTCGAGCCTGTCGTTGATCCTGTCACCGAATTGAATTAGTAATTATTGTATTCTTCTATATCCAAGTTCAAGACGCACTCATAGTTGTTCTTGTCGACTACATCGTCAACCTCGTGTCGGTAGGCGCGGAAGATGTTCTGTTCGCTTCCTCCAAAATATGTATGCACTTGGCCTGGCAACAGGGCATTCTCTGAGATGTACGTTCGACGCGAGTATTCGTTTAATGGCAGAAGGAAGAGCCAGATTACACCGACCGCAATGCAGAGGAAGGACAAGTAAGGGGGAAGCTTTAGAATACGAGGATCGCGACGCAGCGAAAGCGCTGATGCTATAGAACATATTAGCCGACGGTCAGAATAGGGGAGGATAGAGTTGATTACATACAAAGGAGTCGCGACATCGTTTAGCCAATATCTTTGTGATCAAAGACTTGGTGTTCTCAATGCTTGAGTTGAGGTTAATCGTTCCCTTAGCCTTTTGGAAACAATCATTAAAGAGGGTACGTACTTTCATGACAGCTTTCCATTAAATGGAAGCTCCCCCCGGCGTCAGGGGTTGGATTGCGGGCCGCCTGCAGTGAATGCGGGGCAGTCTATGCGGCTACCGGGGGTTCATGTCGATCGAGAGCTACAATATTAATAGTCGTTGAGATTAGATTCAAGCTTAACATTAGCACTTCAATAATAGTGCCCAGACATGAGATGCAAAATGTTAGATAATTCAAACTTCTTCCCTTTTGCAAGGTAGGTATACACTATCATAGTGGTATCAAGACCTCATATTGCACGTGTAGATCCATCATAAAGAAATGCCAATGCATATATTGTCATGGCATGACAGCTGAAACAATCTTCATTTTCTAGCTTTATTATCGCTTCATCCATTATAATAATACCTAAAACGGTCCATAGCAGAAACGAAACATGACCAGCTATATGAACCCGTCCGTCCAGTCATTTCCTTTGCTTTTAATCGCTACGCCAATCCCTAACACAAGAGAGACTCCACGAAAAATGAAATGCCCTTTCTATAGTACAATTCGAAAAGAGCGTGCAACAAGCACTTCCGTACCATTACAGTTACACAAAAGTACACGCGTACCATGTATGCTCGTTCAAGGTCCGAGACGCTGGGTTGTACCAACGAGCTCCGTCGCTGCGCTACCACTGGGACCAGGGCGGTTGGTCGTGGGCAAAACACCAAATCGGCCATATGTCGTCTTGTCGATGCTGACATAGTGAGGGAGAATCTTGAGAAGGTTGAGTCGATTCTCAACCCATCGAAGACCCCATTCAGGGGGGGCGAGTAGCTTGGCATACCCGAAGCCAGCTATTCTAGCTATCAGCATCCTTTCGACCATGGCCATGGCTGTGAGACTTACCAACGTATCCAATTGCAATTCCACAGAGGTGGCCTAGAAGACTAGTACCAGGCACCAACGCCCTCACAACCATACTCATGATTAAGGGTGTAGTCCACGTTGGGATATGGACAGTACCGACAACGAAATGAGGGTTGGTTTTGTATGTCTGAATAGACTCCATCGCCAGTAGAGTAAATACCCACATGCTAAAACAAATGTTAGCTTTAGTCCCATCTAACATCTACTTTGTCGCCGCACCTCGCTCCTAGAACGCCATGGTTTGCTCGGAATACGCATCGCTCGATCAGGACGTACATGACAGCCGGTATCGATGTCAGGGCTAAATAAAAAGAGTCAATCCAGTCCTTCAGCATTTCCAAGGTTCCTTACGTCCAAAGAACAAAGCAAGGGATGTTAAGGTGCCATGTTCGTTCTCAAATCGCTCCATAAGAGGAGTAAGCGCCGCGAGGTTAAGGATAGCATGGATGAGATTAAGATGTATTAACGGGAATGTCGACAACCGATATGCTTTGAACAAGTCCAGTTAGCAAATGCGCAAAGATTTAGAATCACTTGGTAGTACCATTTGGAATGCTAATCTCTTCAGGGATGAGGGCGCCCCATTCTCGCAGGTTCCATACTGATTGTAGCGATGCGATCGAGAGAGCGACAATAGCGAGAATGATAAGTCGTGTGAATAGCGGCAACCGTGTCAGATATGATCGGGCTCGTAAAGCGTTGAAGTTCTGAAGACGGGGTCGCATGTCTAATAGATTCGAGCTGCTCGGAGCAGCCGGATGATCACCGTTTTAAAGGAATGGATGGATTGATGAGACGGAGAGAGTAGAAGATAGAAGTAAAAGAATTAACACGAGTTTCTTAGCAATAAGTGAAAACCGGTTGAAATCGCAAACCACTTCCACGCCCTGAGAAACAGTCGCAGGACGATGGCAAGTCAAACTGGACAACGGACCCTTGACCCTTAGGTCGAGGTGTGGCTGCTGAGTTGGCTTCAGCACGTGATCAGTGCACGGCCACAGTTGACATGAAAGCTGAGTGATGTAATTGCTTTTGAGACTTGTAACACGGAGTTCAGAAGACTTAAACAACATCAGAAAAATATGCGCCTGAAGAAATAATCACAGAATTACTTGAGCTTCGTGTCTAAGCAAGGCTGACACGATGAGTCGGTACAAGATATCACTATTGCGTTTCGTAGATGAAATAGAAGTATCACTTTTAAACAATAGATATTTGAACAGTTAGAATTTTGTTACAACTAATGAAAGCATGGCTATTCCTTTGCTACAAATATGTAAAAGACATGGGCGCTCAATATTTTAGACATATACCGTCCGTTGAAAAGCCCCTCTACTGTCTGCTCTCGAAACCCAATCGAGAACATCAGGATGTACGCCGTATGTGACCCAAAATATCAATTTGCTCTTCTTTACTTCATTCCTTCTTTAGTTCTTGGTAGCCTTAGCCATGGTGTTAAGGGCAGAACCGTTCTTGAACCATTCGATCTGAGCCTCGTTGAAGGTGTGGGACAGAGGGATCTCGAAAGATGGGCTGCCATCGGCGGGGTGGACGACAAGGGGAAGGGGCTTGCCAACGGCGAGCTGAGTGCAGAGGACATCGACCTTGTCATCGGGTCGGATTTTGTCGTAGTCGGCAGGGTCAGTGAAGGTTAGAGGAAGCATACCCTGCTTCTTCAGGTTGGTCTCGTGGATACGGGCGAAAGATCGGGTAATGATGGCAAGACCACCAAGGTGACGGGGCTCAAGAGCGGCGTGCTCTCGGGAAGAACCCTCACCATAGTTCCAGTCACCAATGACAACCCACTTGATACCCTTGGCCTTGTAGTCACGGGCGACAGCAGGAACAGCGCCCCACTCGCCAGTGGTAACGTTCTTGATCTTGTTGGCCTCACCGTTGGCCTCGTTGATGGCACCGATCAACATGTTGTTGGAGATGTTGTCAAGGTGACCACGGTACTTCAACCAGGGACCGGCCATGGAGATGTGGTCAGTGGTGGTCTTGCCCTTGGCCTTGATGAGGATAGGGATGTCCTTAGCATCCTTGCCATCCCAAGGCTGGAAGGGAGTCAGGATCTGGAGACGGTCGGAGGTAGGGGCGACATCGACAGTGACGCTGGCACGGTCGCTGGGAGGGGCCTGGTAAGTGTCCTGGCCAGGGTCGTAGCCTCGGCTGGGGAGACCATCACCGGTAGGAGGAGCAAGCTTGAACTCCTTGCCGTCCTTGTCCTTCAGGGTATCAGTGAGAGGGTTGAAGTGGAGGGAGCCGGCAATGGTCATGGCGACGACCAGATCAGGGGAGGCGACGAAAGAGTGAGTGGCGGGGTTACCGTCGTTTCGGCCAGTGAAGTTACGGTTGTAAGAAGAGATGATAGAGTTGGCCTCACCCTTCTTGACGTCGCGTCGGTCCCACTGACCAATGCAAGGACCGCAGGCGTTGGCAAGAACGATACCGCCGAACTCCTCGAAGGTCTGGAGCTGGCCATCACGCTCGATGGTGGCGCGAATTTGCTCGGAACCGGGGGTAACAGTGAAAGCAGACTTGGCCTTGATGCCGTGGTTGAGGGCATCACGGGCAATGGAAGCAGCACGGGTCATGTCCTCGTAAGAGGAGTTGGTGCAAGATCCGATAAGACCGACCTTGAGCTCCTCGGGCCAGCCGTTCTCCTTGACAGCCTGGCTGAACTTGGAGATAGGAGTACCCAGATCAGGAGTGAAGGGACCGTTGATGTGGGGCTCGAGCTCGGAGAGGTTGATCTCGATGAGCTGGTCGTACTCGGTACCCTCGTCGGGCTTGAGGCCGTGGGCATACTGACGGGCGAAGTCACCGATCTCCTTTCGCTTGGTGGCGGCGAGGTAGTCGTACATGCGGTCGTTGAAAGGGAAGACGGAGGTGGTGGCACCGATTTCAGCACCCTGGAGAATATCAGCCAACAATTCTGTTTATGAAGGAACAAGAGTCACTTACCATATTGCAAATGGTAGCCATACCGGTACAAGAGATGGCGTCGGTACCAGGACCGTGGTACTCAACGATAGCACCAGTACCACCCTTGACAGTGAGAATATCGGCAACCTTCAGGATAATATCTGAGAATGTCAGCGATTGCAAGAGGAAAAGTTAGAAGTCATCCTTACCCTTAGGAGCAGTCCAGCCGCTGAGCTGACCAGTGAGCTTGACACCAATAACGTTAGGGGCTTTAAGCTCCCAGGGGAGGTCGGCCATGACATCGACAGCATCGGCACCACCGACACCAATGGTGGCCATACCGAGACCACCACCGTTGACAGTGTGAGAATCAGTACCGATAAGAAGACCACCGGGGAAGCAGTAGTTCTCGAGGAGAATCTGGTGGATGATACCAGAGCCGGGCTTCCAGAAACCGATATCGTACTTGGCACAAGCAGTAGAAAGGAAGTTGTAGACCTCCTTGTTGATGTCAATAGCGCGGGCAAGATCCTTGGCACCACCGACCTGGGCCTCGATCAAGTGATCACAGTGGACAGTGGTGGGGTTGGCAACCTTGTCCATACCAGCGGACATGAACTGAAGGATAGCCATCTGAGCGGTGGCATCCTGGCAAGCAACACGGTCAGGTCGCAGCTTGAGGTAGCTCTTGCCACGCTGGATGTCCTGGCCGTGAGGGTCGTCCAAGTGAGAGTAGAGAATCTTCTCAGCGTAGGCCAGAGGTCGGTTCAGACGAGCACGAACGATGTCGAGGTTGTCGGACATCTTCTTGTAGTTGATGTAGTTACCCTCCTCCCAGTTGTTCTGTCGGACCTGTATAGCGAAGCATATTAGCACAATTGTTCTCAAATCTCATATCTTGCATCTTCCTGAGTCTATAACCCGGGCTTAATGTTCTCTCGCTGCCATTGAGCTGCAAGTCGCGCAGCTTGGGCCTCGGCATTGCCGGTGGATTGGCAGCCGAACTGGCCCATGCGCCATGACGTTTAGCGCCTGAATGGTAGTGCAAGTGAAGCAACAAAGCCTCAGGTCATGGAATCAAGAGACGACAATACAATTGGTTTGTGGCTTACCTTCTTGTCCAGAGGGTTGTCTGAGACTGTGGCCATGCGGCGGAAGCCAGAGGCAGCGCCAGCAAGGGCGCGGCTCCGGGACATGTTGCCCAGAACCTGGCGTGTAGCAAGCATTGCGACTGTAGTGCTGTGAGGGACTCTAGTTAGCAAGAGTGATTAACGACGATGGCTGTGTCTGGTAATTGACTTACGACCCAATATCGGTCGATGAGTGACTCGATGTATGCTTGAAGGGTAATTGCGAATGTTCAACTGAAGAAGTTGAAGCTTTTCGGGTGGGTTGAAGGAAGAAGGTGGGGGAATGTGCTGCCGAGCAGGTAAGGATTTTATGCTCTTCAGCCGGTCATGTGTTTATCTGGGTTAATGCAGCAATTGGGTTTTATAATTTAGCTCAAGGAAGAAACGGACGTAAAGTTTATGTATTTTTTGGATTTAAATTGTTATAAAGTGCTCTAGAGGTTTTAATGACATCATCTCATTGTATTTCAGTCTTCCTTTATATATCATACTATCAACATCATTCTCATCTCATACATTGTATTCATCTTTTCCACAGAAGCCACGATTTGATTCTCTTTTTTTCCTCTCGTTGCGAGGCAGTTGCTGTTACCTCGGTCTTGCGGGCACCCGTTACGGCGTGAGCCCCGGACCATGATGTAATTTCCGCATCGTGGGCCCCGAAACGGTCTAGGCGTCCATCATGCCCCGGAACCTCTCAATCAATGACAAAAGATGCTCTCTGGTTGGCCAAAACTCTGACTCGCTTCACAGGGTTTAATCGCAACAGTTCCTCGGGCCAGCGGCTTTACCTTCGGTCGCCGCTGAACGGACATATCCCTTCGCACATGCGATCCTCCGAGGTCATGATGCTCGGTCACCGATCATTTTTTGGCTTCAAACACTGTTTTTCGGAATTCAATTTTCATCTGCGAGCGATTGAGGGAATTTGGGGTAGCCCTTGAACGAGGGGGAATATGAAGCTTTTCACCAAACCCCAACCCCCTATGCCCTTGTACACACACCCCAATCGTGGTTCTGCCAAATTTCATGCCGCAGACCGCCCAGTTCATATGTATTGTCCAATGATAACTGAGACGATTATAATCTTCATATCCGTTCTTGGAGCCGATGCTAGACTCTTGTCCACCTTTAAGCCGCATCATGAACTCCCCTGTGTTGAACCCACAATACTGATGGAGCACTGGGAGCCGATCAACACTATCACATATTCAACAGCGCAGACGGCTATGCAAGCGTCCATCTAACCGTGCAAGCATTCTTCTTCTCGTCCCTTCGAGCTTGAAGTCTAACTTGCTCTTTGCCGATCTTTGATCCCGGAGCCGGCGACCCCAGACCCGCTATCCGCCGGGTGTCACCAAGCCCGGCCCATTCCCATATGATGGCTGAACAAGCTCGCAGGCTAGGCATGTGACGCAAGCTGATCGACTAGGTGAAGTGTCTATTAAAGCATGACAAAACATTAGAATGAAATCAAGTGTCAGAGAATGCAGAACTCTACAAGAGACAACTAGAGATGGTAACAATTCTGTTCTACAGGTCTATTTACAATGATGCTCCCTTGGCCTACTCGTTAGGTAGAAGATTACCAGTGATGTCTGGGAAGGGACTTGTGACTTATGGAGAGAGTTTTTTTCGTGTTCTTTCACTCTTTTTCTATTATTGATGCTCATAATTTCTCAAAATTGTTTTTCTGAGCCGCAGAAAATGTCTTATATTGTCATTCCGGCTCGAAATGGTCGTGATATCGTGCCGTGGACGATGGAAGACACGAGCCCCAATTCTCCTGTGGCTGTAGTGCCCCGCATCTGTCTTATCGTCTTATCGGGTCAGCCCCACCAGAACTTTTTTCGAAAATCGCCAACCTCCACGACCGCCTAGCTTGAAGTAATGAGGATACCAATATCACAATCTCGAACAGCATACTCCAAGAATCGCATTCGTTCAAGTTACCGCGAAAATGGGTGTCACAAATAAGCGAACGATTACCAAGACAAGACGCAAGACTCGAGATGTCGACCAGGTCAAGGCCGACATCATGTCGCCCAAGCACCTGAAGCAATTCATGGAGACAAAGGCTGCTGAGGACCTTCCCGGCCTTGGTCGTCACTATTGTGTTGAATGCTCCAAGTGGTTCGATACGGATGCTACTCTGGTTTCGCATCATAAGGGAAAGCCTCACAAGAGAAGGTATGTCACATAGTGACTCGCAATGGGTATATATTTGTATATTCTGATATGTGTACTAACTCCCCACTAGAGTCAAGCAGATCGCCGAAGGACCATACACCCAGGAGGAGGCCGAAGCTGCTGTCGGCTTGCGAACAGACAACGGCGACCGAAAGCGCACATTTGCCGACGGAGACAACGATGTTGCCATGGACGCCTAAATCTTGTCCGATAAAATTCTCCATAGCACGCTAAAAAGTGCGGATATGAAATCCTAGGGCGCATCGGAGCTGGGTTTGATTTTTGACATTGCAAATGGCGTTTTGGAATAATTCTGTCGATATCCCGATCATATTCACCTGACACCACGACCGCGCGCTCTGGCCAGTCCACTAGGCCGGCTACGTCCAACACCGCGAGTCGATCTTCCCCGAGACGATGTTCCTCGACCGGGAGCAGCAGGGAGACGTGATTGTCGTTTTGGAGGCTCTGGTGTGGTGAATTTGGAAGACTTGGTGGTAGTAGGTGGATTCTCGACAAAGGACATGTCAGTTGTCCTAGGGGTTAGTTAGAAGAGCCAATAAAGGTTTCTAAGAAGGAGAACTTACATGAACGTCATTTCTGCATCAGCCTCTGATTTGGATGGGGTCACGGCCGGTTGTTCTGGTTGAGTTCTATCTCTGCGGAAGGATTCTGGAACAGGTCCCTGCGAGAACAAGCCTTAGAATCACAACACCGTACGTATCCGACACGGATAACTTCGATAGACATACCTCCGGGAAATCAACACAAAACGCATTCATGTTCAGGCCGTATAGGAAGCTCGCAAACGATTCGCTGAATCTTGCTAAACTCTCGTGCATAAGCTGAAAGTGCATCATGTTCGCTTCGAGGTCGGCCATGGCATCGGAAAGCTCAGCAAAGGCTGGCTCAAATGCATTCAACGGAAATGGCGCATCATGTTCTCCAGCACCTCGCGCGGACTCGCGAAAGGATGATCGGGACGAAGGTCGCAGCGGGGTGGTAGGTCGTGACGTTCGGGAACGAGAGTTTGAGCGTTTGCTAGGATCGAGGGGTGTAGTCGACATTTTGGCAGCTTGTGTGCTGGATGTCGCATTCGCTGTTCTATTTTTGTGTATTATTTCGTGTATTCGTGGCTCGACGTGCTGGTAATGCGATCCGCGTATTTGATATCGCGACCTGAAGTTGAGTTGTACGAAAGTCAACAAACATTGGATGGAAGTCTGTTGTGGCGCCCCCACAATTCGTTTCAAGATGTGGCTCCCAGTCCGTGTGGCTTTCCCCACGACGCTGATGGTCCAGATAGCATCATATGTACTTTACATCATGCCTGGTTTTGAGATCGACTGGTCTCGAGTCTTTCAACACAGTTGTTCTTTTAACATGACATTTTCTAGAACTCATCATACATCAGGCATAGTGGGCATTGTGTTTCCAACCTCCTTAATATTCACGTATTAGACATATCGCGTGAGCAGTCTTCCACTCAGGGGCTCTCATGTCGAGGACATACGATATGGTATGGATATCGAGAAGAGTGAAGCCCATGATAAGGAGACTTTGGCAAAGAACAATACCATGTTAGGAACATTCATTTACATGGACTGTGAGACATGGGGCCCCTCGACTATGGGATATCGCAAGATCCTTTGTCTCCAAGCTGTTAGCTAGCTCTGTAGGGTAAAGCACAGCCACGCTCACATCCACGCTCACACTTGTTCCTGCAGCAGTCCTAAACATTACCTTATTATCAATTATTGTGAAATATTCTCTATGGTTTCTCTGTTGGTCATAGTCTTGAAGTCGTGTCACCTTTAGTTCGAGACATTATAATGAGGGCTCTTAAGGTGTATGATAGAACAATGTAAACATCAATAGGCCTCCAATCTTTGTTCCCGAATACTCCGAACACTAACAAATGCCCTACGTCAATATTTGATCCATCCACTCTCTATCCGCGGGGACCGGAGTCTTGCAAGTTCCGAACACACCTTGAGAATCAACAGGTTATTCTCTTTTATTACGCTCGTACCATCTCGTGAAAAATCCGACCGATTCTCATATCTTCATGTTCACTCCTTGAGGCCTCTCAGTGGATTGTTCTTGCTTTGTACCTGCAAAGCTTCGAGGATCTGTGGAGCCAATACGACGCCAAGAAAGGGTGTCCCGCATTCTAAAAATCCCCATAAACGACGACATTGACTTACCTACCAACCTTAGTTTTTGCGGCGTATGTGTACGCGTTTGCAAATCTGACATATCTTTCTCTACCCTTCACCTATGAGGACCCAACTGGGACGGAACCTTTGCTCGTATAGCCCTTTTAAATACTCCTCTCAGCCACTTTCGCGCCACCTCCAGCTACGGTCATCTGTCCTTTCTTCCAGCTTACGGAGACTACCCCTTACCAACTCACGAGCAACCCCTGCATCTGCCAGGAGTATAGCTTCTGCGAGACATCTCACAGGTTCAAGGAACCTCACTCACTCAATTGTCATCAAACGGAGATTATACAGCAAAACCGGCTCAAATCCAAGTGGCAAACTTCCACTTGAAGCCAACTCGCTTTACTCAGTTGTAGTAGCTGTAGCAGTCATTACGGCTGTTGTTGCTATATCAGCTTGGCCTGCAGGAAGCCCCAGCAACAAACCCCCACCAAAAGTCTTCGAAGAAGAGCTCGAGGTCATGTCTTTCCAAGCACCCCCTGGACGCCCGGGGAACCTGACTCCTGAGCAAGAGGAGAAGCTTCGCAAGCTATGGACTGCTGTCTTCCAACTCACTGGCGTGGCTGGTGAGGAGAGCTCTGGTGCCGACCTTCTGCCCCAAAAAGAGGAGGCGAGCCCAGCGGAGGCTGATCCTAAGAAGAAGCGAGGATTTGGCATGTTCAAGAAAGGCAAATCTGGTACTTCGACACCAACTGAAGGTTCCGCTGAAGAGGACAAGTACAACGAAACTAAACAATTCCACGAGACTTTGGCCAACGAGTCCCCTGAAACTATTCGACATACTATATGGTCTATGGTGAAGCACGATCACCCTGATGCCCTTGTTCTACGCTTTCTCAGAGCACGAAAGTGGGATGTCGAGAAGGCTCTCGTCATGTTGGTATCCACTATGCATTGGAGGCATAACGACATGAAGGTTGACTCTGAAATCATGAAGAACGGCGATGCCTTTGCAATTGAGGATGAGAAGACCGACTCTCCTACTAAGCAAGTTAGCGCCGACATGATGAAGCAACTCCGAATGGGCAAAAGTTTCCTACACGGCACTGACAAGCAAGGCCGACCTATCTGCGTTGTCCGAGTTCGCCTGCACAAGGCTGGGCAAGAGTGCGAAGAAAGTCTGGAAAAGTACACAGTCTACATTATTGAAACAGCTCGCATGACTCTCCAGCCTCCTGTTGACACAGCTGTAAGTGCCTGTGGTCTAGATACCAGAGCATAATACTGACATCCAAACGCAGTGCATTGTTTTCGACATGACCGGGTTCTCTATGGCCAACATGGACTACACACCTGTTAAGTTCATGATTAAGTGCTTCGAGGCCAACTATCCCGAGTCTCTAGGTGCCGTCCTGGTGCACAAAGCTCCCTGGCTTTTCCAAGGTATGTTTCTGGTTTCTAGCGAAGATAAATGCTGACTGGTAACAAGGTATCTGGAAGGTTATCCGTGGCTGGCTTGACCCTGTGGTAGCAGCCAAGGTTCACTTCACTAACAACCGAGCTGAACTCGAGGAGTTCATCGCTCCAGACCACCTGATCAAGGAGCTTGATGGCGATGAGAACTGGGAGTACAAGTACATCGAGCCTATCGCTGGCGAAAATGACAAGATGAAGGATACGCAAACCCGTGATCGTCTCTTGACTGATCGTGAAGAGTTGGTCAAGAAATTTGAGCATACAACTAGGGAATGGATCCGTCACCCTGAGGGTGAGCAAGGCAAACAACTCAAGGCTGAGCGAGAGAAGATTGCCAAGCTTCTCAGGGAGGATTACTGGAATCTCGACCCATACATCCGAGCACGAACACTCTACGACAGACAGGGTGCGATACAGAGCGACGGCAAGACTGATTGGTACTCGCTCAAGCCACCGGCTGCTGCGGGAGCCAGCACTTCTGCTGATGACCTAGACTAGACGATACGTATGAAGCACAAAAGGGACTTGGATTGTAGATAATCAGGTTGATTTGGCGGGCGCAGGATGGTACCTGGTAACCGGACAATAATACTAGAAGGGCTCTTCATGAACCAATTTCCCAATTGGGCACTGCCGCATATGCGTATATCGCAGCTCTTTAGATCTTGGCCTTGAGCTCCTCGCAGTAAGCCTTGAGCTGCTCCATATCAGCAGGCTTTGTAGGCCATTTGACGCCGAGGCCCTCGGTCTCGTTGGGCTTAGGGATCTGGATACTTGTTAGCTGTAGCTTAATGATAATCCAGGCTTAATCATGTTACCATATGGAAGTGAACCTGGGATTATGTTAGTTTCGTTATACCATAGACTTAGTATGATAGACTTACATGATCAACTTCTTGGTGAGCAATGCGGCCATTGTTCTGGAGGATGTTGTAATCAGTGGCACCAGTCGCCTTGACAATCTTCTTGACAACAGGCTATAAACAGCGTTAGACTTGGTTATCGACCATTAAACCATATCACTTGCCAGAATCTCGGTGAGGTGGTCGTCAGGAATATCGGCCAGCTTAGCACCGTGGTGCTTGGGAATGACAAGCTATGTCGTGTCAGTGGGTTTATGACGTGAGGCGTTGAGAACATACGGCGTGACCCTTGCTGAGAGGACCAATGTCGAGGAAAGCGAGAGTCTTGTCGCTCTCAAACAGCTTGAAAGAGGGGATATCACCTAAGTGAGGATCAAGTTAGTTTACACAATGACCAGGATTTAGACAAAAGAGCTGATGAACACCCTCAACATACTCTCCCCTCGGCAACTCCCCGCATACTCTTCTACTCATTCAACCATCGTGCTTCCACCTTCTCTTACCCTTGATGATGCGACAGAAAATACAGGAGGACATGTTGTTGTTCGATTCGTTTGGTTGTAGAGAACAAATATGAAAAAGAATTAGAGAAGACGTTGAAGCTCAATTACCAATTGAAGGATCAGATTACATCAGGCAAACATTGAGAGAGGTGCAGTTTGGAGCTATGAGGGGGGGCAGCTGGTGTGAGCTTTGATTGGCTGTTATTTTTGAGATGAGGGTATATAAGTTCAAATTGCATTGCTTTCTTTCGGAGTGGGACCTCCCATCGAACTCACCTCTTGCCTTTTACCAGATGTGACCGTGGGATTGGCCCAACAGACTCCATTCACCTAATCTTTGGAAACCATTCGTCTAGAGACTCTAGATTCGAATTTTTATTTTTGCTACTTTTTTCGATCAAACAGTACTCGATAGTGTAGTATTACAGTAGTTCCTTTGTTTTTATAAATTTTCAAACCCATTGAAGCTCTTTTTTGGTATTTTTTTTTCTTTTTCTTTTTTTCTTTTTCTTTTTTATAGGTTTAATGTCCGCTTCTGTGAGGCTTCTGCGCCTTGATTTTTTACGTCATCTTCATCTCGGCGGGGTCACCTCAGCCCCTCCAAACACAAGTCCAGGTAAGGTACCTGGAACTAACTGCCTGTGCTCCCAAGGCATAACCGTACCAACCCATGATCCATCACTCTTCGCCCACTTTCAGGCGCCCAGTTTCTACCTTGTAACACATTTTGCCAAGATTTGCTTGCTGTTCCAGTCAGTACCCGTACCAGTCACGAGCTTGACCCTCCGAAGCATATATACTCCAACTTTCGCCGCCGATTGTTCCTTAGCTACTTTACATAGTACGATCGACACCTTTTGAGTTTGCGACAACCGTACAGATACCAAGACATATACAACCATCGCGTTTACTCAAACGAAATGCCTGAATACATCAACACGCCTCTATTTGGCGGCGCAATCACTTGCGACCTGCCCGCCAAGTTCGCCGACGTCAGGTTCGTCCTCGTTTCTCTGTGCGCTTAAACCTTTCCCATGCTGACTCTATGCGCTGCAGCAAGTTGCGACAAGTTCCCGATAATCAAGAAGTCTGGATCGATCAGGATGGTTTCACCAGCATCATCTTCGACATCACAGAGCGTGTCGGAGGTTCTGGCTCAGGTCCTGAGGTTGATGGTCGTGCCATGACAACTCATCTTGAAGATATGGTTGGATCGGATATCGATACCGTCAAGATCTGGAACACTGCTGAGACTGAGTTCTCGAATCTAGAGTATGTTGTCCGAGGTAGCAGTTGAAACGACAGTCACTGATATCTGATAGACCTGGTACTCCCGCCTACACACTTATTTCCACACAGACTCCTCGTGTGAACCAGTCCCGCGACTCAACATCTGCGCCCGACTTCACCGCCATCATCCTGACTCTTCTGCGACTCGAGAAGGCCAAGACTGATATTCTTATCACGATCAATGTACCTCATATCAAGGGAGAGTACGACGAGTCGGAAGTTGATCTTGAACTGGGACGTCAGGGTAAGCTCATCGGTGCTGCCGTTGAGTATTCCGCTACTATCTGGTCAACATTTAAGATCAAGGACTGGGGTCTCTTTGGTCAATCTTAAAGTAGTTGAAGTTCGTTCAAAAGGGAATGAAGAGCATATTCAGGACAAGGGTAATTCCGTGGGAAAGAGCTAGGATATCATGAGATGACTACCACGACTTATGACGCGTTTTCTTTGTCAATGGATGAATATACAATTATGGATACGACAAGCATCGTCCTCCAGCATGCGGGAATAAGCAGGCTCATGAGCTGCTTTTGGGATGAATGACGAGAAGTCATGATAGGAGGCCATGTTGATGATTATCCAACCATGTTCAGAGCTCAACAACGGTTTAGGAAATTACTGGTTGATAAGAGTAAAGTCGGGTTTTGTTTGCATTCACAACGTTCAGTGGCTATATGTATAAACACTCTCACTCTGATTTCTTGAAAGTTCGTCTGGTTAACATATAGGGTAATCGATGGGCTTTCATGAGGGGCAATGAAGGCAGTGTCTCTGTCGATTCATTCCCAAATATGCGAGACCTTATGGTCTATATCTTGACAAGAAGTAGCTTCATAGGTGAGTGAGGGTGCAAATGAACTCAGTTGACTCATACACGTACATGGTAATATTGAATGGGTATAAACTAACAAACTCCTATTTATGCATTTATGCTTCAGCCTCAATTGTTAGATCAACCATCTTGTCAACAACACTGTCAACTCCCAGCTTGCTAGCCACTTTGCTTCCAGCCTTGCCACCCTCTTGCTTCGCCCACTTCTCTGCAATGAGCTTCATGACCACCTTCTGAGGACTGCCCGGGTTCTCTCCTCTCACAACAGCCATCTGCTCTTTCACAAACGCCTGATATCGACTTGGTGCTTTGCCTGCTGCTGCTCCTCTTGGTGCTGGCCTCGTCTGCTTCAAACTGCCCTTGCACTTCCCACATTTATATCGCCGCGTATCAATACTCTTGGAGTGCCGCTTGTACTCAACTCCGCATTCTTCACATTCCCAGACGTACTTGAAATCGATTTCGTAACTGTGCTTGGTCGTCACTTCGATGCCACGATCACCAAACTTGGCTGAGCACTTGGCTGCCCAAACCTTGAACTCTCGGCCGTGAGGGTTTGTCGTTATGCCACTGATCATGAAGTTGGCGAGATGGCAAAACTCGTGAGCCATGACATTGAGTAGGCGGTTTTCGTCATCAATGACCTTCTCAGCAAGTTCAATCGATGCATGATGTCTGTATATTTTAATTGGTTGACCGTCATCCGCCTGCCGTGTCGTCCGAATAGTTTCACAACGCCAACTTGCTCGCCCAGCCGTCGTATTAAGTGTTTTTGTCCAAACGAGCTTGACACCACCTGTGGACTCAGCAAGCTTAGCAATCCTACCCTGCGTGATCTCGCGATCGAGTTCAGCTAGAAAGCTCTCGGCCAGTGCATGTTTCCTAGATCCAAAGGACTTCTTGGTCTCCTTCTTGGGTTCTTTCTTTGGGCTCGTCTTGCTGGGACTCTTAGTAACAGGAGGGAGAATAAGCTTGCGTGGTGAGTGCTGGTCGTTCCAATCGTTGACAAAATCCTGGTTCCAAAAAGCATCCATACTTGGGCGATGTGGCGTCTTGGGGATCTGTATCTTCTTGCTTGGTGATGCAAGTCCCCTTGGCTTAGATGCTTTAGGAGGAGTACTGGGTGGTGTGGTGAACTCCTCTATCTTCGATACTTTGCTCTCCTCATCTGAAAAGTCCTCGAGTTGTAGCCGCAGCTTGGATAATGTGTCTGCAAGGTCCGAGGCAGTGGTCGTCCCTGAAGCATGTCGTTTTCCTCTTTGGCTGGTCTTCCTGGGCCCAACAGCCTCTTTACTCGAAGCAGTGTTCTTTGCGACATCGCGGGTCTTTCCATTGCAAATATTTGCAGAAGGTTTTGGTTGGAGAGTTGGAGCATTCTTGATTGAGGAGATATGACCCCTGGTGCCAATGGTCTTTGGTGGCTGGCTACTTGGCGATCTTGCCCCTTTTCTTGTCGGGAACTCAGAGGAGTCATTCAACCAGTCCAGCTCGGAGGCAGAGTCAGAATGTTCGTCTGCAGTTTGATAGATACTTGGCTCCTCTGCTTCATCCTCCTCCTGGCTCTCTTCACTTTCAGCATCGCGATCAATCTCTCGTGCAAAAAGCAATGCTTTTGACTTGGTCCCAGTACGGATACTTGGTATCGGGTTTTTAATATCCAGAGCAGGCATTGTCACCGCACTTGTCTTTGTTTTCTGAAGCCGTCGAACCCTTGTCAAGTCTCTTTCCTTTTCAGATTCATAGTCCTCATGGCTCTCATCGTCAGAATCCTTCACAACCCTCTGATTTCTTCTCCTTCTTGGCTGTTGACGAGATTGTGGTATATCCTCCTCAGTTTCAGAGCCAGAACTGGATTCTGAATTTGAAGAAAGGTCGTTGACTGGGGTCGTTTGTTGTGACGGCTTCTTCTCATAACTTGTAGCCCTTGACTTGTTCCCTCGACCAGTTCTTGTGCTTTCTTGTTCTCCCGAGTTCCATTTCTGAAAGAGCGGGTTGGCGGCGGCTTGAGTTGGCTCTCCGAGACGTCGCACACGTCGGGTTTCAGAATTCGAAGTAGTCTTGGAAATCGTAGGCTTGCTAACTGAAGGTGCTGGCGTGGTTGTCTTTATTGCTCGGGTGCTTGGTTTCCGAATAAGCGTTTTCAGATCAGGTAGGTCATCGTCACTAGAGGGATAAATGTCTACCAGTCTTGCCATAGTAGATATGTTGAGTCGCAGGAGAAGAGGCTTGAGCTATGACATATGCTGGTCGAGGGGTGTTTCTTGCGTTGTCAATGGCATGCGGGGATATAGAGTGATACTTTTCGTTAGCTGATGTTTGAATAGGTATGCGATGACCTGGAAACGATAAGTTTTGTGGTATGAAGCGGCTTAGCTTGAATGCAGAATGGCTGTAGTAAAACTTGAAGAGCCACAGCGTTGGCACAGCAACAGACCCATATTGGAATGCGGCATCGCGAGTACACGTGACACCCACCAACCTACATTGATATATGGATCGGGATGTGGAATCAAGACATGGGCTCACGGTAGACAATTATTTGACGGATTTGTGCCAGCTGTAATTGGTAATGTGAGACATTCTTCATACCTACAAGTGTCGAATTGACTAAGCGGCTTCGTTCGCAATTCTAGAACACGAAGCTAGTATTAACAAAATTGGTATCGGAACGATAGAAACCCAAGCCGGAGGAGCGGGAAACAGTTGACATGGTTATTTTTGGTGCTCGCTTGTATCGTAGTCCCTTGGCAAATTTTCAATGCCAGTTGTTAAGACTTCAGAGGTAACGGGTATAGGTTAACCTGAGAAACAAGACTACAGAACTTCATCATGAGTATTCTACGATTTAACATATGGTTTTCTGCTATTTGAAACACGTCTTTGAGGCCGTAACATCTCCATGACGTATTCTTAATTAATTAGCCGTACTATTAGAACATATTCAGTCGAAGAGTGGGAGCCATGACGAAGAAACAAACCGGTGCGAGGCTAACTAACGAACTGGAAGCGACTCCATTCTCGGACTGTTTGAAGCGCCAACGGGTGGGAACATGAAAAAGGAGGTGGCCATTTTCAGAAGTCTCCGCCAAAAGTTGCTTATCACTTCGGCTGGTCAATGATAGAGCTCCTTCCATGCGGTGATCATCAATCGATTGTCGATAGATCATTATAGCTGGCTCGGTACAGCAGCCGTGTTGCCGTGCGTGTCACATTGCTGATGGTCATCTACGGCCAGGATCATCATATCTACTGATTAAACCTGCAGGTCAATCACGGTCTATCGTCGATATCATGCACAATAATTTATACCTTCGTCCCCAGCTACTGCTAGTCAACGGGTGGCGGGACGCCGGCTTATCTTGACAACAGAAACATGAATATTTCGGAGCAGTTCCCGTAAGAATTCTCAGCACCAAACCAGTCGCAACAAGACGATTCCTTTCTGGCGTGGTGGACACGGGCCCGTTGAACCAGATTGGGATTGGGAAAATTGGACTAACTGCAAAGTTAATCCTTTAGCACAACTGATGGAGAATTGAGAGAAAAAAATTGCAGGCGAACCACAGCGTTCTATGGATAGAATTTGGGGGGGATCGATGATCGTGTTGGATCAGTTCGGTGTCTGAAGCTTACCAGGGATAACCTTGTTAGGGAGCTACTGTTTGGACCGGCGTATCACATAGGCCGCGTACAGCGTCGTCATCGATTGTAATTATGCTGCTGCTGCTGCTGACGGGACGGGATCAAAAAGAGCGAGCTCATTGTGGCAGTGTTACATACAGCGGGAAGAGAACATATTGAGTTGCCATCGGCTATTTCTTATTATGGAACCTCCTTTTGATTACATGCTGCATGCTATCGCGTGTGAAGGTTTTGTTTTCGTTGCATTCTTCTTCTCAAAAACGAAAATGCGTGATGCAGGATCTGTTCCTGCATAATGGATACGGGTGTAGTACATCCACTGACTTTTCTCCTCAATTTATAAGCGGTCTTGCTTATCAATGCCTTTCTGTCTACTCCGTAATTACCGATACAACAATCGAGATTGCATCTTTAAGGCTGAAACAATTTCAATGAAGATTAGCATGAGAGAGACATTAAACCAAAAGAAGGCCAGATAATGAATGACTTTGTTCCTATTTGATAGGGTTGGGATAAGTGGAAGAGCCAAGGCAAGGAAGCATGAATTGAGGTACCAGCAATCATCTGATAGTGACGAGCAGGGTACATGCATATTCAATTCGAGGACATGGTTACGCAGCGGTTCAAGTTCTTACCGCTTGAGGATTCGACGAACCAGCTGAAGCTTCTCGAAGTCCTTACTCATGGCTGTGGCCGCAGCCGTGACGGGTACCAGCAGCTTGCAGGCATAGACACGTGTAAGTGTAGTTTGATAAGAGCTTGGTTCCATTGCTAGTGAATCTCAAACCTGAAAGCTATGGAGAATATGCAGACACACATGGTGTTTCCCTGATTAATGCATCCTGTGCCTTGATATCGCGGTTGGGGAACAATCAATAACTCAGCCACTCGCTGAATTAACCTTGGAGTGACCAACTGCAACCTTCAATCATGCCACTGTAACACAACCAAACTAACCCCATGCTTGAGGCAAAAATCAAGCAGGTTGGTTGGTGGCCTTGATACCTCAGGTGTTATGCTTCTCATTTAGATAACCTTTCTGTTAAAGCACTCGTATCAGTGAGTGAGGCATTGCCAATGCCAACCATAACTCCGGGCCACAGAAAGAAATTGACTCGAGCTTCGGATGCGCCGTTCAGGGGCGCCGGTGCCCCTCAGTGGACCTTGGAGGCTTCATCCAAAAGCCCGATTTGCAGCAAGCACTTGTCAGGCCCGCAAAGGAATGACTCCGTACCAATGATGACGCGTGGCTGGCTATTTCTGAATAGTACTTCAAAGGTACGAGCTCTTCGAAGGTTCCACTCATGGGTCTCATGCAAGCGAGTCCGCAGAAGCAAACACCTTACAGCGGAATGTTAGCAGAACAAGGCCAGCTGAGATATTGCCGCAACATGTATCCATCAGGTACTCCCATTAGAGAGAGAGAATGTTGACCTGCAGCACATCCATCCGAGGAATCCGCCTGCCATTCTCTTAACCAGAGCCCAAACTGGCCAACCCCCTCCAGAGACAGAGACCCAACCACCCCCTTGCAATCACCAATCAAGACCCGTATCCCCTGGCACTCGTGGTCAGCGCCCCTGGCTTGCACTGCGAGTCGTGGGCGCGGGCGAGCTTTTAGGGGCGATGGTCCTCTCTGATGGGATGGGATGGGTCTATCGAGAGTAAAGCAAGGAACGAAAGGAGACGACCTGGAAACGGCCCGGACGATCCACTGTTGGGACAGCGCATCACGATGGCTGCTGTGATGGATGAGAATGGATGGATGGATAGATACTATTCCAGTAGTTGATGGAACCTATTGATGCTTAATGTTAGAGAGTTAGCCGGTACATAGTGCCTTTGAATCGAATTGAGTTTCAGCGGTCTTGCCGCTGTGAACTTCGGGCTTAGCGGGTATCACGCCCTGTAACTTTGAAGTATTAACAACGTTTTATAGCCAGTGATCCACTTTTCGAGTTGAGATATGCTCTTGGCCATGCTGAGGATTGTAGCTAATTCGCTGGTCTGATCAAAAATGGAGACGCGAGGCTCCTAAAAAGTCTCCCTTCTGTTAGTTGCTGATGGATGCATGCATTGTTGCTCCCTCCCTCTCGTTGTGCAGCACTAGCAGTGAGCGAATGGTGTTTTTGTTTCCCATCGCACTCTCCCTTCCATCCTCACTCCCACGTTTTGTGTACGTAGGTGTCTGCGTCCAGGACACTACTGGAATCAAAACATTCAATCCAAGTTTGTCGCCCAAGTCTTGATTTCTTGTTTCTTCCCCATCTCATGTCTTTGACGCCTTGAAGGATCACACTTCTAATAATACATATTACGTCTGTCAAATTATTGGAAAGTTCTTTCCATCCATCCATCATTGAAGGTGGTTCCCCTGTTATCTTACAGACACACCCTTGCCATTCTCCACCCCCTTACTTCGCCCTGGATAACCCGGCGCCGAGACACGCAGTGTTTCTCTCCCTCCCCGTGCGGGTTGGAACTCAAACCACCAAAAACCAACCCTCGTCTTCTCCCCTTTGCTGTTCTTTGCATTAGCATTGCCGACACTCGTTTTACGGCTACGCCAAATCATTTTGTCTCGCCCTTCGACGAACGACGTCGACTTCTCAAGCCGGTGAATCACTCTTCATGATTGATTCATCTTCTTGAAATCGTATCGACGCCGAATCGCATAATTTATTGGCCTTTCTTTCTGAGCCAAGCCACTGCCCGTTCGGCCTTTTTTGACGGGTTTTTGACAACAAATCAATCAATATCTTGCAGTGCCGGCCACGCTTGTTCTCCCGCCTGATCTTGATTCACAATCACGCTCGCTGGTCATCCACATGTGTACCACTAGGTGAGTTGCGGTTGCTTGACTGACCATGAGGTTGTACCCTGTGTTTCGTCCTTCTGGCTTCACATCACTGGATGACGTCTCCCAGGACAGGACAACCCACGGCATAGACATGACCTCTACGGACAACAACTGACCTTCTTCCCCAACAGATAATTAATTTAAGCAACATGTCGGGATATCCAGGCGGTGGTCAACGCGACCAGTACGATGATGGCTACGGCCATCAACAGGGAGGCAACCAACAACAACACGGTGGAAACACTGACTCCTACTACCAAGACGATCAGTACTACGATCAAGGCTACGATAACCGTGGCCAAAATAACAACAACAATAACAACCATGACGGCTACTACGACGAATCGTGAGCATCGAGTGCCCCCTTTAGTAGATGTTTCGCTAACGGTGGCAGTGGTTACTACAACGCCGACCCCAATAACCCCTACCAACAGGATGGAGGCTATTACGACGGCCACGACCAATACCAAGACGGCTACTACGACAATGGCCAGGGCGGCTACTATGATCAGGACTACGACCGTGGCTATCAAGGCCAAGGAGGCCGTCATGGCTCTGAGGAAGATTCCGAGACCTTCAGCGACTTTACCATGAGATCGGACATGGCTCGCGCTGCTGAAATGGATTACTACGGCCGGGGTGACGAGCGTTACAATAGCTACAACGATGGACAACGTGGCTACCGACCTCCTTCGTCGCAAATTTCCTATGGTGGCAACCGCTCTTCAGGTGCCTCGACTCCTAACTATGGCATGGACTACGGTAATGTTCTCCCTGCTGGTCAGCGATCCCGAGAGCCCTACCCGGCCTGGACTTCAGATGCCCAGATTCCTTTGTCCAAGGAGGAGATTGAGGACATTTTCCTCGACTTGACCTCCAAGTTTGGTTTCCAGCGTGACAGCATGCGCAACATGTACGACCATCTGATGATCCTTCTCGACTCTCGAGCCTCTCGCATGACCCCGAATCAGGCTCTTCTCTCTCTTCATGCCGATTATATTGGCGGTGACAACGCAAACTACCGCAAATGGTACTTTGCGGCTCACCTGGATTTGGATGACGCTGTCGGATTTTCCAACGCACAGGGCAAGGGCCTAAAGCGCAAGAAGAAGGGTGGAAAGAAGAAGAAGAAGGATGCCGAGGCTAACGAAGCTGAAACTCTTCAGGAGCTTGAGGGCGATGACAGCCTCGAAGCTGCTGAGTACCGCTGGAAGACCCGTATGAACAAGATGTCTCAGCATGATCGGGTTCGCCAGATCGCTCTTTACCTGCTTTGCTGGGGTGAAGCTAACCAAGTTCGTTTCATGCCCGAGTGCTTGTGCTTCATCTTCAAGTGTGCGGATGATTACCTCAACTCTCCCGCTTGCCAAGCTCTCGTTGAGCCTGTGGAGGAGTTCACTTACCTTAACAACGTCATTACTCCTCTCTACCAATACTTGAGAGATCAAGGTTACGAGATTTCCGACGGCGTGTACGTCCGCCGTGAGCGTGACCACAAGAACATCATTGGTTATGATGATTGTAACCAGCTCTTCTGGTACCCCGAAGGTATTGAACGCATTGCCCTTCAAGACAAGAGCAAGCTGGTCGATGTGCCTCCTGCTGAGCGATACCTCAAGCTGAAGGATGTCAACTGGAAGAAGTGCTTCTTCAAGACATACAGGGAGTCTCGTTCTTGGTTTCATCTCCTCGTCAACTTCAACCGTATTTGGATCATTCATTTGACCATGTTCTGGTTCTACACCTCTCACAATGCTCCCAGTATCCTGGTTGGTCCCAAATACGAACAGCAGGTTAACCAGCAACCCTCAACGGCCAAGTCTTTCTCCATCGTCGGTTTCGGTGGTGCCATTGCATCTCTTATCCAGGTTCTCGCTACTCTTGCGGAGTGGGCTTATGTCCCTCGTCGGTGGGCAGGTGCACAGCATCTCACTAAGCGACTGCTGTTCTTGCTCTTTATCCTCGTTCTCAACATCGCCCCCGGTGTGAAGGTTTTCATGCTGCCAAAGCTTGGACCTGAGAAGATCAACACCGCTATCGGTATCGTTCACTTTATCATTGCTCTGATCACGTTCATCTTCTTCTCCATCATGCCCCTTGGAGGTCTCTTTGGCAGCTACCTGTCTACCAACAGCAGACGCTACGTTGCTAGTCAGACATTCACTGCTAGCTGGCCAAGACTCCGTGGCAATGACATGGCCATGTCCTATGGTCTTTGGGCGACAGTATTTGGTGTCAAAATGGGTGTCTCCTACATCTATCTGATTCTCTCGTTCCGTGATCCCATCCGATACTTGAACATCATGAACGTCGACTCTTGCCTGGGTGACAAGACACTCCTCGGCAATACGCTTTGCCGTTGGCACCCAACTATTGTCCTCGCCTTGATGGCCTTCACTGACGTTATCTTCTTCTTCCTCGATACTTATCTTTGGTACGTATTGTTGAACACCGTGTTCTCGGTTGCACGATCGTTCTATATCGGATCTTCCATCTGGACACCTTGGCGAAACATCTTCTCTCGCCTTCCCAAGCGTGTTTACTCCAAGGTTCTGGCCACGACGGACATGGAGATTAAGTATAAACCAAAGGTTCTCATCTCGCAGATTTGGAACGCCATCGTTATTTCCATGTACCGTGAGCATCTTCTGGCAATCGAGCACGTCCAGAAGCTTCTTTACCACCAGGTTCCTTCTGAGCAGGAGGGCAAGCGAACTCTTCGTGCACCTACTTTCTTCATCTCTCAGGAAGATCACTCTTTCAAGACCGAATTCTTCCCTGCCTACAGTGAAGCTGAGCGCCGAATTTCGTTCTTTGCGCAATCTCTCTCCACTCCTATTCCCGAACCTCTACCTGTAGATAACATGCCTACCTTTACGGTCATGATCCCCCACTACAGCGAGAAGATTCTTCTTTCTCTTCGAGAAATCATTCGCGAGGATGAGCCTTACTCTCGTGTTACTCTTTTGGAATACCTCAAGCAGCTGCACCCTCACGAGTGGGATTGCTTCGTCAAGGATACCAAGATTTTGGCTGATGAGACCTCCCAATATAACGGCGAGACAGATAAGAACGAGAAAGACACCGCCAAGAGCAAGATCGACGATCTTCCCTTCTACTGCATTGGTTTTAAGTCTTCAGCACCCGAGTACACCCTCCGTACCCGTATCTGGGCGTCTCTTCGTTTCCAAACCCTGTACCGCACTATCTCTGGTTTCATGAACTACAGTCGTGCCATCAAGCTCCTCTACCGTGTCGAGAACCCTGAGGTTGTTCAGATGTTCGGTGGTAACACCGACAAGCTGGAACGCGAACTTGAGCGTATGGCTCGCCGCAAGTTCAAGATTGTCGTTTCCATGCAGCGATTCTCCAAGTTCAAGAAGGAAGAGATGGAAAATGCCGAATTCTTACTCCGTGCCTACCCTGACCTTCAAATCGCTTACTTGGACGAGGAACCCCCGGTTGCTGAAGGCGAAGAGCCCCGACTTTACTCTGTTCTTATTGACGGTCACTCTGAAGTTATGGAGAACGGCATGCGACGTCCCAAGTTCCGTGTTCAACTCTCTGGCAACCCTATCCTTGGTGATGGAAAGTCCGACAACCAGAACCACTCCATCATCTTCTACCGTGGCGAGTACATCCAGCTTATTGATGCCAACCAGGACAACTATCTGGAGGAGTGTCTCAAGATTCGCAGCGTTTTGGCCGAATTTGAAGAGATGAAGACTGACAATGTTTCTCCCTACACTCCTGGTGTCAAGAACGACGTTCACTCCCCTGTGGCCATTCTCGGTATGCGAGAGTACATTTTCTCAGAGAACATTGGTATTCTTGGTGACATTGCTGCCGGTAAGGAACAGACATTCGGTACTCTTTTCGCTCGAACCATGGCTCAAATCGGTGGTAAACTTCATTACGGACATCCCGATTTCCTGAACGGTATCTTCATGACAACTCGTGGTGGTGTCTCCAAGGCTCAGAAGGGTCTGCATCTGAACGAGGATATTTACGCTGGTATGACTGCCCTCCTTCGTGGTGGACGAATCAAGCAATGTGAATACTTCCAGTGTGGTAAGGGTCGTGATTTGGGTTTCGGTTCCGTCCTGAACTTCACAACCAAGATTGGTACCGGTATGGGTGAACAGTTCTTGTCCCGCGAGTACTACTATCTCGGCACTCAACTCCCTCTCGATCGATTCTTGTCCTTCTACTACGCGCATCCTGGTTTCCATTTGAACAACATGTTCATCATGTTCTCCGTTCAGATGTTTATGATTACAATGGTCAACCTGGGGGCTCTTCGCCATGAGACAATTCCCTGCGAATACAACCGAAACGTCCCCGACACCGACCCTCTCTACCCTACTGGTTGTGCCAACACGGATGCTCTCACCGACTGGATTTATCGATGTATTGTTTCCATTCTCTTCGTTCTGTTCCTCTCTTTCATCCCTCTTATTGTTCAAGAGTTGATGGAGCGTGGCTTCTGGCGTGCCTTCACTCGATTGATGAAGCAATTCTGCTCGCTCTCGCTCATGTTCGAGGTTTTCGTGTGTCAGATCTATGCGAACTCTGTGCAGCAGAATATTTCGTTCGGTGGTGCGCGATATATTGGTACGGGTCGTGGTTTCGCCACTGCACGTATTCCTTTCGGTGTCTTGTATTCTCGTTTTGCCGGACCAGCTATTTACTTCGGCGCTCGTTTGCTCATGATGCTTCTCTTCGCAACTCTCACTGTCTGGAAGGGTGTGTTGATCTATTTCTGGATCACGCTTCTTGCCCTGACCATCTCGCCTTTCTTGTACAACCCTCACCAGTTCGCATGGACCGACTTCTTCATCGACTACCGCGATTACCTCCGATGGTTGTCTCGTGGTAACTCCCGAAGCCACGCCTCATCTTGGATTTCCTACTGTCGTCTCTCTCGAACTCGTCTTACTGGTTACAAGCGAAAGACTCTGGGAGATCCCTCTGCCAAGATGTCCGCAGATGTTCCTCGCGCCCCCTTTGCCAACATCTTTTTCAGCGAGATCTTCTCTCCCCTCATGCTTGCCGTTGTCACGATTCTCCCCTATCTGTTTATCAACGCCCAAACTGGTGTTGCCCAGGCCCCTCAGAAGGACAGCGTGAAAGGCAAGCCCCAGCCAACCGACTCTCTGGTCCGGCTGCTCGTCATCTCCTTTGCACCCATTGCTGTTAACGCAGGTGTCTTGGCTGCTATGTTCGGCATGGCGTGTTGTATGGGTCCCCTCCTCAGCATGTGCTGCAAGAAGTTCGGCAGTGTTCTCGCCGCTATCGCTCACGCTACTGCTGTCATCTTCCTGTTGGTTTCCTTCCTGGGTATGTTTGTTCTCGAGGGCTTCAATTTCACCCGCACATTGGCTGGTATGATCGCTGTGACGGCAATCCAGCGGTTTTTCGTCAAGCTTATTGTGTCTCTCGCTCTTACCCGTGAATTCAAGTCCGACACTTCCAACATCGCTTTCTGGACCGGAAAGTGGTACTCCATGGGATGGCACACCATCTCCCAGCCTGCTCGAGAGTTCCTCTGCAAGATCACCGAACTGTCCATGTTCGCAGCTGATTTCGTTTTGGGCCACTGGCTGCTTTTCTTCATGGCACCCGTCATCTTGATTCCCAAGATCGACACGCTGCACTCTATGATGCTGTTCTGGCTTCGTCCCAGGTATGTCTTGTCCTTTGCTTGTTATGTTTGTTTAGCTTTCTCTAACCTTGGAACAGTCGCCAAATTCGACCTCCCATCTACTCGATGAAGCAGTCCAAGCTTAGGCGCAGACGTGTGATTCGTTACGCCATCCTCTACTTCACGCTTCTCGTCATTTTCGTTGCTCTGATTGCCGGACCTGTCGTGGCTGGCAAGTACATGCCACCCAATACGATCAGTGATGCCCTCAAGGGACTGCCCTTTAATCTTGTTCAGCCCAACAACCTTAACAAAGACAACACCAACAGCACCATGGCTACTGGTACAGGAAAGGTTGGCTACACCGGTGCTGGTCTTACGAAGACCAAGACTGGCGCCGATGCCTCGGCAACTGGCAAGATCAAGCTGTTCTAAGTGGGAATATTTGGGAGACCTCCCTGGCTTGTCTCTGCCGACAGAAAAATTGTGGAAATGCGAAGTTTTTGTTTTTTGCTTGTTTTGGTTTTCAGTTCAGCAGTTTGAGTGGATGCACATGCATACATAGGTTGAAGTTTTATAGATGTGGATGGGAGATGGAAGAGAGATACAGAAGGAGGAGGTTGGCATAAGTCAGACCTGACATTCACTGGCTGAACTGGACTGATCTTTTTTGGTACAAGGCGCACTTCTTTTTTAAACTTATTATAATGTGTACAATGAAAGGAAGAAACACATCCATGGCAGAAACTCTAGACCTAAATGCAAACAATGCCTTTTGAACATTCTTTTCTTTTCATTTCTACTACTAGCCTACGCCCTCAATAGAAACAAAAATTGTACGAGGTATTCGAGTTTATTGCATAAGGTACGAAGCTTGTGATTTTGGTTGGAGTTTTCCATTGTATGTAAGCTAATTTTACGTATTCCCATTCCCCGGGCTATCCGATGACCCCTACACTCCCCCTGTAGTGGACGGCCTGTGGTCTTATTGTTTCTGACCTTCAGGTACCCGTTGAGCCCCTGTTAGATATGGATCCTTAATGCAGCCAATCAGCCTGCGCTCGGCGGCTTGACTCGCTTCGAAGTTAGAGGACTCTGGAGGCCCCTTTGTAGACCCATGTACCTATGATGGACCATGACTTGACAATTCAGAATCCTCGGTTGACGTCCATTTTAACTCCTTTCAACAACACGCTTCCAGTCCAAACCAATAACTACTCTCACGACCGACCGAGACGAGACGAGACGCAAGATCGATAGAAGTTGACGTAACCATTGAAGACAATTGGAATCAAGAACTATGGAACTCGATGCCTTCCAAGCCCGGGTGGGCGAAATCCTTGAACAGGCCGCAGTTTACTTCCATAAAGTTCCTGGTTCTGCAGTATTTATGCGCTACATCCAGTCGAGTTATCAGAACGACCCCGTGCGATCCGCCATCGAACTTGTGCTGCTTCTCTTCTTTATCCGCTATCTCCTGTCGCCTTCCTACTCGACCCGTAAGCAGAATTACATCAAGTTACGGGAGGATGTGAGAACACTGCCAGTTCTTTAATCGCAGGATTGAAGTCGCTAATGTTCGTTGCTTCGTAGGAAATCGAAGAGTTGATCGATGAATGGCAGCCCGAGCCTCTCGTCGTCGAGCAGACTGCATTTGAGGTGGCTGAAGCCGAACGTCTTCCTGTCCTGGTCGGGTGAGCATCATCAAGTCTAACTGCGTGGGCAATCTACTCAGGATCAGCATTTAATATCTCTATAGTCCTACCGGTCCCAAGACTAAACTCGCCAACGGCCGAACTGTTACCAATCTCGCATCCTACAACTTCTACAACTTCAACGGCAATGATCAGATTAAGGAGAAGGCTATCCAGGTTCTGCGCACCTACGGTGTTGGCCCTTGTGGTCCTCCCCAGTTCTACGGTACCCAGGATGTTCACATGAAGACTGAAGCCGATATTGCCGCGTATTTGGGCACCGAAGGCTGCATCGTCTACGCTCAATCCTTCAGCACCATCTCTAGTGTCATTCCCTCCTTTTCCAAGCGTGGCGACGTTATCATCGCTGACCGCAATGTCAACTTCGCTATTCGCAAGGGTCTCGAGCAATCGCGAAGCACCATCCGCTGGTTTGAACACAATGACATGAACGCTTTGGAGGACGCTATGAAGGCTGTAGCCCGGGAGCAGGCCAATGCCAGGAAGCTTACCCGTCGTTTTGTTGTGACCGAGGGCCTGTTTGAGCTCTCTGGAGATTCTATCGATTTGCCCCGCCTGGTTGAGCTTAAGGAGAAGTACAAGTTCCGCGTTATTCTGGATGAGACCTGGTCTTTCGGTGTTCTCGGCCGTACCGGTCGTGGTATTACTGAGGCGCAGAACGTGGACCCCCAACAGGTTGACATGATCATTGGTTCCCTTGCCGGACCTCTTTGTGCTGGTGGTGGCTTCTGTGCTGGTCCCAAGGATGTCGTTGAGCATCAGCGTATCACATCTTCTGCGTATACATTCTCTGCTGCTCTCCCTGCCATGTTGGCTGTCACTGCCAGCGAGACCCTCAACCTGCTCCAGTGTAACCCAGAAATCCTGGCACAGTCCCGCGAGAACATCAAGGCTATGAGGGCCCAATTAGACCCCAGAAGTGATTGGGTTTTTAGCCCCAGCGACCCCGAGAACCCTATCATGCTCCTTGTCCTCAAGCCCGAAGTTGTGGCTGCCCGTAAGCTCGGACTAGAAGACCAAGAACGCATCTTTCTGGACTGCGTGGAAGAGGTACGTGCAACGAACACTGAAACATGAACAAATATGAACTGACTCCTGTATAGACTCTTGCCAACGGCGTCTTGATCACAAGAACCAAGACCAGACCTTATGCGCATGCTGTCAAGCCCAAGGACGGCGCGTGGTTTGCCCAGCCTGCTCTTCGAATTTGCGTTACATCAGCACTGTCCAAGAAGGATATTGAGAAGGCTGGTGTTACTATTCGACATGCTATCACCAAGGTCATGACACGAAAGACGAGCACCAAGACCGCCTGATTCAGGAGCTCGACGGATGATAATTTTGATGACAGACGGAGGCTGGCTGAATGCGTGTTATACAGGAACATAGTCGATAAGTCGTCGGGTTAGGCTGAGACATTTTTGATTATGATGGATAATCAGCCAACGCAATAGACGAGGGGAAATATGGAACGATCTACAAAGTGGCTGGCAGCCATTTAGCAAGCTAATGATTAATAGATGCGGCCCTCGTACGCTAGCATTGAATGAATATTCCCGATATAATGGGTTTGTCTCTTTGTGGGCGCCGTGATTAGGTGTTGATTGATCGGTTTCGGTATCATGTTTTTGATACTGGGGAGGGGAACTTCTCGAGAAACCTTGACATGTATTTGCCTGCTTCAGTTATTCACAGCTGATGAAGTCGTCTTTGCCCAGTCACTGTTTTCAAAGATGAAAATTGTGTGAGAAAGAGAGCAGACGTCAGCTGTCTCGCGCGTTTTATGAGCCATCCCTTGCCAAGTCACGCGGATGCTGCCAGCTTACAACCATCCATCAAGGTATTAAATCTGACAACAGAATCACCAAGGACGTACTTGCAGAAGAAGAACCAGAATTGACAAAACCACAGTCTCAGTTTTACAGTTTATCAGACGGATGAGGAACCTTTTCAGCTCGCAACAGGACTTGGGGCATGTCTCAGATGTTGCATTCCTTGGGAGATTACAGGTCTCGAAATTACGCGCCATGAAAAGAAATAACCTCATTCCAAGAGTCGCGAGGGTCGTGGCCTCTTTGATGATTCATTTTTAAGGTTCATGTTTTCGGGCAGTCTGAGGGGGAGGAGTTGCTGAGTTCCATGTTCTGAGTGAGTTTCTGCGTTCGTGTGTCTCATATTCTGGGAGCGGGCTGAGTGTGAATGGGGAGAACAAGGTAAAGTCAAGTGAGGATTTCAGGATGAAACTCACGGGCTGGAAGGAATTGCGCAGGTGAAGAGTGTCTCACTTGTCTCTTGGCTCTTGCTTGTTTCTTGCAGGTTCAAGCTCAAGCTCAAGTTCAACACTTACCAACGGCAGGCTCAACACGTGTCTTACCGTACCGTATCGTTCCTTCTTGTTTTCTTTTCCTTATCATTGTAGAGAGGCCCCTTCCTCCCTTGTTTTCGCCTTCATCTCTCCATCTTCTTCTCCTTCATTCATTCACTCCTACAATCGTTTTTTTCTTTTCCTACTTACAATCACTTCCTAAGATTCCTCATTCTTTGATTCTTCTTTTCAGTTCTATACACACTCTTTTCATCTGAATCCTATTCGTTCTTGGATAGCGGGTTATTAAGTCCCGTCTTATACACTCATTTTCTCAAATCACTGACCTTTAAACCACTATTTGAGCTCGTTGTAGCAGCTCGTTCACTCTCTAACAACTCTTCAAACTACTAACCTACGTACGGGGGGGTTTTTTTTTTATAAAAAAAATAATATTTAACAAAATGTTGATGAAACGTTTCTTCACTTCGGCGGTTGCCATGGCGGCGGTTGTTGCTGCCGTTCCTGTTGGTGAGTATTCTCCTGACCAAATTGTAACTTGAAGCTGACAGTACCGACAGCCCGTCCGCTTGGGAAGCGAGAACCGTATGCTTTTCTCGTGATATGAAACCGTGATGTTGACTAATAATATTGTAGTGTTACGACTATCACTCTGACAGCGGCCTCTACCTATACCGCAACTATCGCTCCTGCTACTCCTGTCACTCCTACAGGAACTGCAACTTACCCAGGAACTACAGCTCCTGTTCCTGATAGCCCCAAGCCTCCTAAGAATGGCAAGCCTGACGGTTCCTGTAGTTCTACAGGCACTTGCGGATCTGGCAGCGGTAGCGGTTCGTCCGGTTCTAAGCTCCCCGGAGTCGCATATGCCCCCTACCGAGGCGATCACCAGTGCAAATCCAAGGATGAGATCCAGCACGACATTACCCAGCTCGCGGCCGATTTCTCAGTCCTTCGTATCTATGGCACCGACTGTGACCAGGTCACCAATGTCTACTCATGCGCCAAGGGTAGTGGCATGAAGCTGTTCCTCGGTATCTGGAACATTGACGACGTTCAAACTGAGGCCAAGACCATCATCAGTGCAATTGACGATTGGGACGTCGTTGACACCATCAGCGTTGGCAACGAACTTGTCAACAACGGAGCTGCCAGCCCAGCAAAGGTCATCTCCGCTGTCAAGCAGGCTCGTGAGATCCTTCGTGCCGCAGGCTACCAAGGTCCTGTTGTCACAGTTGATACATTTATTGCTGCCAATGCCAACCCTGAACTTTGCAACGAGAGTGATTACTGTGCTATCAACGCTCATGCCTTCTTCGATGCCAATACTTCTGCTGACGAGGCCGGCCAGTGGCTCTCCAACACTGTTGAAGACCTTCGATCCAAGATTTCTGGTGACAAGCGCATCGTCATTTGCGAGACTGGTTGGCCTACCAAGGGCAACAGTAACGGCAAGGCTGTTCCCGGTATGAGCCAACAGAAGGCAGCTCTTGACTCTATCAAACAGGCATTCTCCAGCCACATGGGAGACCTGATCCTCTTCTCTGCCTTCAACGATCCCTGGAAGAAGGCCGAAGCCGCAACTTTCATGGCCGAGCAATGGTGGGGTATTGAGGGCCAGGACTCAGTTTCCAACAAGGACCCGTCGTCTTCTAACTAGGGAACGGCTCCCCGATTTGTCATGTCAGTTAGACCTTCAAATATTTGAATGGTTTGCGGTCACGTTTTTATTCTGAGATAACGCTCGACTTATGTCTTTTCTATGATGCCTAATGGTTTATTTTTATTGCTTGAGGGTTGTGGATGCCGATTAGCAGGTGGCCATTGCAAGGCTGTATGAGCCTATCATCTTGGGAGGCATGTTGGAGGTTTGTCTGCTTTTCTATTCAAGCTTCAACTACCTCATCACATCACCTCACTTTATGGCTGCTCTTTTAAGGATTAGAAAAGAATTACGCTTTGTATTTTTTATTTGAATTGAAATGTTTGTTATACGGTTTGATATTGGATTCAAGTTAATGGTGTATGTAAAAGTGAATGTGTGACTTAATCTAAACATATCTGTACTGTGCAGCATGACTCCAAGTTCGGAATACGATCGAGATCAAGAAACAACATTGATAATCGTCTATAAGAACTAGAGAGTATGATTTCCTGCAACTCCTCTGCCTCGCACCGATGACTTCGTTACTCATGAAGACTATACCCATTGCACTCCTTGCTAGCCCAATAATTCCTCATGATGCATAAAGCATAACATAATATGATTCATTGTGTCATCACATTCATTGGCCAAAAAAGCTTTTCCCTCATTAAGCAGATCCGGATTCTACAGTTGCTGCAATGTGGAGAGTGGGGGCGTAAGATGTAGACCGCCAGCGATGTTAGGATAAGGACCCAAGGCATCGGATGAGGAGACGAACACGCAAGAAACTTATCTGTAGAAAGGCAAAATGAAAATGAAAATGAAGCGCAAAATCTCGCTTCGACCAGAAGTCATGCCAAGCTCAAGATCTATCGATATCTCAAATGATGGGGAAATCTCAAGATCCGTCCTGAGACGAAGATCGTCAGACACGCGCCCATCAGGCTCCCATCAAGCGGCTCTGCGTATTTCAGCAGGAGGCGCGACGGGATGAGTCTAGCAGATCCAAAGCTCGTCTAGAAACTGGTCGAGTTCGATGATGCGGAACCTGGAGCCGATGCTTTGGTCCTTCAAAAGAGTACTCCAAGCAGAAGAAAGACTTGCTTTCCAGGAAACAACCTCAACGCTCCAGCCCATTTTCAGAGCGCGTTGGGCTTGTGTCAGGAAGCCGTCTGAATACTTGGCCGGCCGAGCATCACCAGTAGCGATGACAAGTGTGCCGGGCTCCTCGAAATACTGCATAACAGACTCGCTGATTCGAATTTGGAGTGTTTCGTCAACCATGTCTTCGACATAACGGAAGCCGCCGGCTTCAAAAGTGTTGTGGTCATCAGAACCAGATTGCTCAGGACGACGACTGCGAAGGTCGACGCGGTAGCCAAGACCCTTGAGTTCTTGGACGAAAGAAGGCTCGCTGCGGTTGGGGCGCACAGAGCAGCCAACGTTGAGCCATTCCACGTATCGATCGCGGGTAAGAAGTTCGTGAAAGAAGGCAAGATTCATTTGTGGGAGTGGGACAAAGCGCGAAGACTCTGGCAGACCAAACTTGGCCCTTAGGGCCTTTTGGAATCCAATGATGATGTTGGACATGTCGACAAAGACATGAATTCCATTCTCTGCGATGGTGGAATAATCCCTACAGATCATAGAGTCTATAACACGCTCATGGACGAGCTTTTTCATGAGACCCTCATGCTTGACCACAGTGGTCTGCACGTTACTGTGAATTTCAGTAAGGGGCCCATACTTGAAATGCTGATATGAGATGACGTGTCTGACATGATCTGACTGAATGCCATCCAAGACCACTATGTTGGGTTCTGAGCTATCTCTGGAATGCGCTTTGTCCTTGCCCGAATTTGAACTTTTATTGTTCTTTTTGGACTCGTCAAAATGCTTAAGCGGGGACTCGCTTGAGCTTGGTGGTGTTGAGGCAGCAGTTGAGTAAGACGCGGCAGGTAACACATCAGTGTCGGAGCCGCAGCCAGCCTCTGAGTCAGTAATTGGGTCGAAGTTGGGCCGATTTGATTGGGGAAATTCGTCATCATCTTCCTCGTACACCTCTTCCTTCATAACAATCGCCCTCGTGATTCGAAACGCCTTTCCAGTTCGCTTCTTATGGATTTCGCTTGCCATTGTAGCGGACTGAATACGGGCCTCAAGACTCCGGTCTGATTGCCTTGAGGCGGCGATATATTCTTGCTCCTGGTTTTCTTCATGGGAATGCTTAGGTATAACCGAAGATTTGGGAATGCTGTCTGCACTGATGATGGAGAGCGGTACAGAAGGTCGCTTCAATATCGTGATCGGCTGTACCTTTGGAGAAGCCATTGGCTTTCGCTGCTGTTGGGAGAGTTCATTGTCATTGAGACGAATTTGCTGGAAGAGCCGCTTGAAGTTTCCAAGAGACGGAGTTGAGCCAGAAGTCTTTGTAGCCTTCGGGGACGCCCAGTTTGCGAGACTGTTGGAATTCAGTTTGGTGAAGTCACCAAGCTTGAATCTACCATTATGTGCAACGTTATTTGCAGGCGTACTGCTACCCGGCGGCTCGTGAAGAGGATCGTCTGTTAAGTTTGTTGTTGGAGATGCCATAATAACCATCAAAAGCGACTACGCACATAGATGCGAGTTGGTGGTTATAAGTGAAGTTGGTGATCTGCTCGACGCCTATCCGAGGCGTGAGAGGATTGCTGGAGTGTTTGCCAAGTATTGACCAACGGCGCCGGTAAAGCGAATTATCCAAAGTTGCAATTTTCGAGAACCGCAGAAAATAGTAGAGTCAAGAAGATATTGAGAAAGCGATTTGCCACATCTGAGAATCCAGAATCGCCCTAGAAGAAAGACCCGGAATGAGTCAAAACAAAAGCCGGAGTTTCGCAGGATAATATAAAAAGGAACTCGAAATGGCCAAACACAGTCTGAGATGATTCAAAGCTCAAGTCCAGTGCGTCAAAATTTGCCGCTTGATGAAGCCAGGTGAGATCAAGTGCGGAGATCGAGCTACCAGAATATCATGAGGTCACAAGAAGGAGAACGGGTGCTCAATCAAGGCTGTGTCAAACAGAATAAAAGCCAGTGATAGAAAACAAAAATATAATAAAAAGCAGCTGCGCAAAGACTTGGGTAAAGAAAACGGATCCGAAAATAGGGAACAAGGAAATACGACGTCAACCGTTGATGAAGAATGGATGAGATGGATGATGAGTCAATTCACGATGCGCTGAGGCTACGGGTGGCTTTCCGGGATCCGGGATGGCATGTTCCTAACCAATCACATCACGACATATGTGGCATAAGGGTCCTGTAACTCACGTGTTTATCGCCACCCCAAGCGTCGATACTCGATACAGATACTCGCTCGGTATGACAATAGCACGACCAAGACCAAGTCTATAACCCGAAACCGGAGATATTTTGTTTACTACCTTATCATCACTTCACAATACTAGCAACTTACGATAGAGCAAAGATTTGTCAAATTCCTATCTCTGCTACTCATATCGTGTCCATCCATCCCAAGTTCATATGTAGCGCATTCTCCAGATGCATCCATCCCTCTGAATAACCAGGCCCTAGATAAAGTGAGAATGGAAATCTTGAATCCTGCTTATGCTCAACATTCGAATGCATATGCATGAACAAGAAGTTTGCGAATACTATCTGATTCGCAAATTTAAATAATCCGAAGCTGCCCTGTTCCATTGAACTTATTGCACCTTTGATATAGCCTGTTTCGTGTTTTCTTTTTCGGAACTATGGGCAGACAGCGCTTTGTAAAGATATGACAACCATGCTTGGCATCTTCCCTGGCAAGACTTGCAAAATAACATAGCTAAGCTCCATTGCCATCACCTTCGGAAATCGATACTAGCTCGAGACGAGTCCAGGCTGGGTCGCACCGAGCTGCTTGAGCTTCGTCTTCGTCGCGCTCGCTGTTCGTTAGGGTCGGAAGGATGCAAACCAGTCGATTTCGCAAACATGTTGAGGACATCAGTTAACGAGATAACACCAGTAAGTCTTCCAGAAAGACGAGCCCCAGCCATGGCGGATGCAGGCACAGCAGCCGTAGGAACTGGGGAAGCAGGTACCGCTGCAGTCGGAACAGGCGACGGGGGTGCAGGGTGCGCAGGCGCCGATACGGGCGCAGCAGGAGGTGGAGGCCCGGCGGTCGTGAAAGATTGAGGTCCCATTAAAGGTGTTGCAGGAGCTGATGGGGAGGGCGACGCCGATTCAACCACCCACATTCGATGCGATCGAGTAGCAACGAGCTTGGCAACAGTATGGGCCAGAGTCGAGTAGGGGTTCACATAGAATACAGGAAAGACGTCGCGTCCGTGTTCGACTCCTCGCTCGTTGAGAATCACAGAGATGAAGTTCATGCACGACGAATTGAGTAAATGGGCGTTGGAGCTCTTGGTTAAGTGGCGGACGTCCTTGGTCGAGATGTTACCCACCACATTCATACCATTATCAACAACAGCCACGCTTGTAAGGCCTTCATTGTTCATAAGCGTGAGAGCTTCTGATAAGGGCGAATCGGAGCTATGGCAGGTTAGCACAGATCATTTTGAAATTGTATAGAAACTCACTTGACAGAAACAATCTCCTTGGCACCAACACCCAGATCACGCAGCAAAGCAGGGTAAAGCCGGTCAATAGAAGGAAAGTTGACACCCTCATTCCAGAAAAACTCGACAATTCGAAGTTGGCTTGCGATGCCGACCACCTCGCCACTAGTAGTTGTCACCAACAGACGATGGATGCCACTGCCGAGAATCTGAATAGCCTGTGCGAGCTTTTCGTCACCAGGCAACGTGATGAGTGTTTCCTTGCGGAAAAGAGGAAAGACGTCTCGTAGAGGAATCTGGCCACCTTCCTGAGCCTTGGCCAAAATTGAGTTGAATAGCTCAACCTGATCTTCTTCGGGTTTGGCAAGACCAACGACAACGAGCAGGTATGCGTTCAAATCGGTATAATCGAACGTGGAGACGGCGGTATGAGTAGAGGGATCCTCGCGGACCAGAACAACGTTGGTAGGGCTCTTGAGGAGGAGCTGCGAGTCATGATTAGCATGGGCTATTCGGTAATTGAAGGCGCATATGGGGTCCTGTATCGGGTGACATTTAAAGTTTTATGCTCACCTTGGTAGCTTCCTCGACGCTGCTATCGAACTCAACCCATTTAACATCATCGGGAGATACAAGCTCTCCAATAGCTACATCGCGCCAATCGCGGCCAGCAAATCTGGGGTTGGCATGCTTGTTTCCTGCAGGAGGATGGTTCAATAGCTCCTGGAGAGCGGCCTGTGTAAAGGAAGGATGCCGTTGGGAGCGTGGGGATGAGGGCGCATTGCGCAAGCCCTCAGCGAAGCTCGCGCGATGGGCGGATATGGAGCTTGGGCCAGAACCAGCGGATATAGATACAGAAGGAGATCGCTGAGAAAGAGTAGGTGGTTTATGAGTAGACGAAGAGCCCGAAGCAGCACTGTTGAGGCTGGTCGAGCTAGTCGCGCGAGTATCCTTGAGCTCGCGGGAGGTTGAGCTCGCTGAGGGGTCCATGGTGGGAACGTTTCGCTTTAACCAGGTGATGAATTGACTGATGTTGAGATTTGATAGATCGGTTTGGCAACAAGTGATATTTCAACACGACTTATGCGAGCAAAAGAGTGCTGTATGTATTGCAATCGAGAGACAGATGAGAGAATGATGGCGGATGTGTTGTCGCGACAATTGCAAAGATGAAATGATAGTGTGCACAGAGATAGATGGACGAGACAAGACGAGACGTGGGAGTGGACGCGGGGCGCAGGCAGGATAAGAGAATGGTTCGAGTTGAAGGATCTCGATATTGAAGTCCAATATTGGAAAGTGGTTAGAGTCACAAACTAAGAATCAGGATACAAAAGATCAGAAGACATTTATTTGCCAAGGACAAGGACAAGGCGATCGAGAGGCGGGCGATAGATGAATGGAAGTGGAATGGTTTTTCTGTCTCTTGCTGCGGAGGTTAGGTTGGTCTGGAGACGAGACAGTCTGTGAGGGGCACGAGGTTACAATCCAAAGCCATGAGTGGGCGGGGGAACGTTTTGCATGATGACATAGGTAAAAGGCGAGCGGGCAATGGTGGAGTGCCCCGCGATGGATGGATGCTGGAGTAGCTAGAGGAGGCAAGAAAACTTAGGACCTGAATCCCAAGCGACAAAAGTACTTGGGTAAATTAGCACAAGTTTAAGGGAGATCTTGACTAAATTTATTTTGGCCTCCTATTTTAAAGTCGGAAGTTTTCTTGCTCCCTGGGGGAGAGTAGGGGACAGGAGCTCAATCTTCAGCGCAAAACTTACTGATAGAGATCCACGGAACTCAACTTTGAGAAAGTGGAAGAAACTACCACTAAATAGATGTAATCCCATACTTGGGCATTCACTCTCTCATGCAGCTATGAATACTATTTAGGTATTGATTTGCACCAACATCAGATAAGTAAACATGACACCTGAAGATCCATTCCAACACCTAACCATGTTCATGCATCCATTCTCACAATGATCCGGCAGAAACTGTGGATGTCTACAAGGAACTCCCTGGTCCTGCAGTTCGTGATACGTAACCAAACCAAGTTCCGATACGCACAGGTAACATGAACAAAGGGCAATAGGAAATGCGAGGAATTTTATAAATGCGTTGCTGACGGAAACTATCATGTTGGATCTCGAAACATTCGTCGTCTAAGATCTTTCTGTAACTTGGACTTGTGTAAAAGGTTGAGCCGATAGGTCTAGGTAACTACCTTAATTATGGAAGTCAGTCAATACACATGTGTCATTACTACTTGAAAACCCCAAGTCTATGGACTTACAGAAGTCTAAGCTGCTAGAGTTGACATTTCAAAGTGTCAGTCAGTAAGTGTATCTCAGGTCCCATCAAATGATCGACCTGAAAGTTATTCAGGAACAAACTTCAGTATTGACCATCATCTCTGCTATGGCCTATCAAATACCTAAACTCAAAACTAATCAGGTCAGAGAAAACGTTTCGTGTCACGTCGATAGGTCAAAGAAATGGTTGGCTAATTGGCTAAGTAAGGTACAGCCGCAATGCATCATGACAAGAAGGAAGATTTCATTGTGCATATCTGATGGAAGCCATCCGTTCTGGCGGTGTGGTGGGGCACAGCTGGACGGCTGCTAGAACAAACAAATCAACAAACGGAAACAAGAGATATTTGATATCCAAGAGCTGCCTGGCCAATTGCTGTCTGGCTCATTTTAAACTTCTTTGTCTGCGGTGTTGGGTGATCAAAGAGGCGTTCCCCGGCTCCATTTGGCGTCAAATATTCTTTCATGACTTCAGAGCCTCGATAAATTGATCTAGGTTTATCATGCGCCGTCCATAGACACAGCAGTCAAATATTAACTTTATAAATCCGGACCAGTTTCCATTAAAGTCTTTTGAGGTCATTTCTTGACCTCAAGCTGTACAAAGTCAGTTGTCTGTCCTATTTCTTCATGGGAGCCTGGCAGGAAGAAGAAGGAAAAATAAACAATAAGGTACCTTACAAAAAACACACTAGCCACGACCTGGTCACCGCGCACCCTTTGTTTTTTTTTTCTTTTGGGCTCAAGTCTGTCCCCAAGTACCTTGCCTGCAAAGACTCGCCCGCACGGTACTTGTTCACGACCCTCAACTTTTGGGCTTCCCCTCCCCCACTTCACTTTCTGCTCCCATTCATTCAGTCCCTCTCTTCTTTCATTCCCACCATTTGTGATCTTTGGAAATCTCGTCCCTCAAAGTGAAGCCACGGCCGATTAAAGCCAACGAACCTCGACGGCTCGTAGCTTTGCTTTTTCACACTTCTTCTTCAAGTAGCACTTCATTATCGCTACTCTTGTTCACATCCTCCGACTGAGATCCAAACTTCTTTGTCGTCTGCTGGTGGACATCACCATCAGCAACCCTCCACGACCACAACAATGTCTCTGCTTCCACCCGACATCCACGCAGAGCTTTCACAGCTCCTGCAAGCTCTGCAGTCACCCGACAACAGTATAAGATCCCAAGCCGAGGAGCACCTGCAGAACAACTGGACTGCTACCCGACCTGAGGTCCTGTTGATGGGACTGGCGGAACAGATTCAAGCTGCTGGCGACAATGCGACACGATCCTTTTCCGCTGTAATTTTCCGTCGGATTGCTTCAAAGACCCGCAAGAATGAGGCCGGAGAAAGCATGGATCTGTTCATCTCTTTGACCAAGGACCAAGCCGCCGTCATTCGACAAAAGATTCTCGAGACCCTTGCCGCCGAGTCTGAACGCCTCGTTCGCAACAAGATTAGTGATGCTGTTGCCGAACTTGCCAGGCAATACACGGAGAATGGTACGCTCTTAGAAATTCTGGAGTGACCCTTCGTGTCCTTGACCTTTGTTAACAACTTCTGCAACAGGCGATATTTGGCCCGAACTGCTTGGCGCTCTTTTCCAGCTTAGCCAAGCTCCCGAACCCGAGAAGCGAGAGAATGCATTCCGAGTCTTCGCTACAACTCCTGCCATTATCGAGAAGCAGCATGAGGAGGCTGTTCTCCAAGCTTTCCAAAAGGGCTTCAAGGACGAGGCCGTTATGGTACAGCACCCCTCCCGCGGGGCAGACTTTTCTGTCCCACATTGCATGTCATTGCGCTGCTAACCACAGTTATAGGTTCGTCTTGCGGCGATGGAGGCTTTTGCTTCATTTTTCAGGACTATTAGCAAGAAGGGGCAGGCTAAATACTACGCCCTTATTCCGGATGTCCTCAACATTCTACCCCCGATCAAGGATTCTCAGGATTCCGACGACCTCAGCAAGGCGCTCCTTGCTCTCATCGATCTCGCCGAGTCCGCTCCCAAAATGTTCAAGCCTCTCTTCCAGAACCTCGTCCAATTCAGTATTTCAGTAATTCAGGACAAGGAGCTCGAGAACATCTGCCGTCAAAACGCTCTCGAGCTCATGGCTACATTTGCCGATTACGCGCCCTCTGTGTGCCGAAAGGACCCCTCCTACACAAACGACATGATCACCCAGTGCTTGAGTCTCATGACGGATCTCGGCGAGGATGATGATGATGCTTCCGAATGGATGGCATCCGACGACGTAAGTCCTCAGAGAAGGGAGACACAAATTCATGTAGCTAACTCACCATGCAGTTTGACCAGGACGAGAGTGATCAGAACCACGTTGCTGGTGAGCAAACTATGGACCGACTTGCGAACAAGCTTGGAGGACAGACCATTCTGGCCCCTACCTTCAACTGGCTTCCTCGTATGATGACTTCCATGGCTTGGAGGGATCGACATGCTGCTCTGATGGCCATCTCTGCCATCTCTGAGGGCTGCCGTGATCTGATGATTGGCGAGCTTAGCCAAGTGCTGGATTTGGTGGTTCCCGCTCTCCGAGATCCTCATCCTCGAGTTCGATGGGCTGGTTGCAACGCTCTTGGTCAGATGAGCACTGATTTTGCCCCCAAGATGCAGACCGACTACTACGACCGAGTTCTCAAGGCAATCATTCCTGTCCTCGACTCGCCCGAGGGTCGTGTCAAGTCCCACGCAGCTGCTGCTCTTGTCAACTTCTGTGAGGAAGCCGAGAAGGCTACTCTGGAGCCGTATCTGGACGAGCTCCTCTCACACCTTTTCCAGCTCCTTCAAAATGAGAAGCGCTATGTCCAGGAGCAAGCTCTGTCAACCATCGCTACCATTGCCGATGCCGCTGAAGCTGCATTTTCGAAATACTACGACACCCTCATGCCTCTTCTTGTTAATGTTCTCCAGAACCAGAGCGAGAAGGAGTACCGACTTCTGCGCGCCAAGGCCATGGAGTGCGCCACATTGATCGCTCTGGCCGTTGGAAAGGAGCGCCTTGGTCAAGATGCCATGACTCTAGTCAACCTTCTGGCCAACATTCAGGCCAATATCACTGATGCAGACGATCCCCAAGCTCAGTACCTCATGCACTGCTGGGGCCGCATGTGTCGTGTTCTCGGCTCCGACTTCCTCCCATTCCTTCACAACGTCATGCCTCCTCTGCTGGAGCTTGCTGTGGCCAAGGCCGATATTCAACTGTTGGACGATGATGACCAGGTTGAGCAGATGCAGAACGAGGAGGGATGGGAGCTTGTTCCCCTCAAGGGTAAGATGATTGGTATCAAGACAAGCACCATGGACGACAAGCATATGGCTATTGAGCTCCTGGTCGTCTACGCCCAGGTCCTTGAGGCTTCTTTTGCTCCCTATGTAGCAGAGATCATGGAGAAGATCGCTCTGCCTGGTCTTGCATTCTTTTTCCACGATCCCGTTCGATATATCTCTGCCAAGCTTGTTCCTCAGCTATTGAGCTCTTACAAGAAGGCCTACGGTCCTCAGTCCAACGAGCTCCGTGGTCTGTGGGGCGCGACTGTCGACAAGCTCCTCGAGGTCTTGACTGCTGAACCTGCCATCGACACACTTGCCGAGATGTACCAATGCTTCTATGAATCTGTTGAGGTCATTGGAAAGGACTGTCTTTCTACAGAGCATCTCAGCCGATTCATT